GACTAAGACTTAAATAGATTTTTGTCATTTAGACTAAGACTTAAACGAAATCGGGAAGGCAATGACTAAATAGGACTAAAACTAAAATAGATTTTTGTCATCGTGACTAAGACTAAATTCAAAAAGCTGACGAGGTTAACACTGGTTGGAGGGGAACTGGGTTTCCTGTTTTCAAGCCTTAGAAAGCAGGAGAGGCTCACTGATGGCTCATCATGTTTACGGTCCAGTGTGATGCACTGGTGCGTCCATATGGGCCGTCTCCACTCTAAGCATGTTTTCTCTGTTTAAGTTGACACAGCTGGTGGGCAGGATGTCAGATCCAGAGCTCTACGTCTGTTTGTAATTCTCTCCCCTTCCTCTGCTATAAATAACCTCAGTATGTGTGTGTCCGTATGCGACGCAGAGAAAGATGTCCTCGCTCTGAGCTTTTGCATCTGTTTGCGCTTGTGTGTGTTTAATCTTTACTGTTCCATGTCTGGCTTTATTAGCCGCTTACGTCCAGCGTGTGTTTGCGTGCGTGTGAACGTTGATGTGGCCGTAATGATGATGGCTTTGTGTGCTGTTCCACGCTGTGATTGATTGGCGGTGACACGGAGAGCCTCACGCTACATAGGATAGAAAGCCGTTTAAGTTTTATTAAAATTATCCCAGAGTTTGTTTCTGCTAAAACACCTCTTTAGGTTGAACTGATGCTGGACCATTATGCTGAATTTCAGGTTTTAAATACAAAAAGAAAAAACAGGAAGAGAAAATTATGATTTTACACCAAAAATGAAAAATGCTCCTACTAAGTTCAGCCCTGGAGCTTTTATCTAATTCCTCTTGATTGATCGAAATGAACTCAGATTGAGTTGAAATCAATTATAGGATTAGAAGTTTTACTCTTTTTCTCCTAAAAGTTTTGTTTCAATCGATGCAGTGAAAACATTTTGTTACATGTTCTTCCTCCAAACGCCGCCTTTACCCCCTTATGAAATTAATTTTGTTCTATTCTACTAACTGAAGTCTAACATTTTACGAAAGAGAAAGAACTCTAGAAATGTATTAGTAAAAAAACTAATTTACTGCAGATTTTGGTTAAAGGGCCAGTTAATGTTTATAGAAATCCCTTGTTGGCTGTTATTTATAAATTAAAGTCGTATGGAAATCATATTTAGATGTCAAATCATTCTGGCTTAAACATGAACATAAATGTACTCTTTATCAGACCATATTGTCCCAAAAGTTAGAAAATTTCAATAAAAAAACAAAAACAAACATTTCTTAAACCCTTTATAGGGCAAGTTTGCGTTTTTGACAGTTGCATCCCCCCCGTCCCTCAGTGAGATCTAGAAGCACAAGATCTATATCCAGCCATTCATCAAAGATCCTGCTACATGGCTGTACGTCTGATTTTGGCATTTGACCAATTAGATGAGCCCTTGAATGATAGATTAACTACTGGAAGTAGGTCATAATGATATATTACCAACTGAAGTTGAAAACAAAGTTAACAGGTCAAGAAAAAAAGGTGAAAAGCTAATTGAAAAAATAAAAAGTAAAGTTAAAAAGTTAACGAGCTTACTTAACAATTATATTTAGCTTTATAAACTAAAATAATATCAGTGGCATTATCAGCATTAATGCATCTAAGCTAAAGATGCACCAAAAAAATAAATGTGTTTCTTTCACTCTCAGAGTTTTTTCATGAATTTCTTCTAGAAGCACTTTTGTTATTTTTCTAAATATATTCGGGCAAGTTGCTGTTGCTTGTTATTACATTGACATTTATTTCCGCCATTAAAATATCCGTATTTTTTTAATGTTACAGAAATAATAAGGTCTTGGTCAGGAAATCCAAAAAACACTATTGGCTGGAAATTTGGATTTACAAATTATTTCATTGAGTGCCCAATAAAGGGTTAAAATTTGTGTTGTCGTTTTTTTCCCGTTATCTTATACAGGTCAGTTACTTATATGTTGATTTTACTAACAGCTGTTAGTGAGGAGAAAACTTCATCAGACCCTTAAAGTTGTAGGGAAATCCTATTTAAATGTCAAATTATTCTGGCTTAAACGTGTATATAAATTTTCTCTTTATCAGACCATATTGTCCCAAAATTAAGAAAATTTCTTCAAAAAAAAAAAAAAAGTCCTGTCTTAAAATCAGATTTTTTTTCCCGTTATCTTCTGCAGGCCAGTTAGTTCTACGTCAGCCTGAACACCTAAATTCGGCCAATCATATATCAACGGTCATCTGCCAATCACATATTTTTGGTCATAGCATCTTGGTTCATCTGTTGCAGCTAATATACGCAACGGTTGAAATCAGAATCCTTTCCCATTGAGTTGCCTCCCAGTGTTCACGGGGATGGACGTCTGTGTCTTCGGCAGGCGTAGAGCTAACAGAACTGGCAGCGTTGCGAGGCAAGGGCTCAAACATGTACGGCTGGAAGCCTTCTACACCAAACCAAGCTTCTGCCGCCCTGGCGTCCTCTTCCACAACATCTTCGTCCCCGCTTTCCTCCTCTAAATAAAAAATGGATGACGGAGGAAACTCATCCACGACCTCCGACACTAAACTCTCCTCCTCTTGCATGTTTCCGCTGTCCATAGCGTTCCTTGACAGCGTCGTTTCTAAGTCACCAATTTAGTGCTACTTGATCCCAATGGAATTTCCCATTGGGAACCTGCTAGCACTAAGTTGCTAACTGGTTAGCAAGATGCTTCCGACAAATCGGGTACAACACAACTTGCTTGCAAACCTTCTGCCACAACAATCCCGCCCCCTTGATAATCGTCCAATCACATTCACTGTATTCACTGGTGTAAAGTCGGGCACCACTCGGGAGAATTCGGAAATGTTACGGTTGGAACGGCTGCTTCCCTATGACTTAAAAAAAATAAAACACCTGAGTTAAACTGAGAAGGGAGGGCTGGGTGTTACTAACACTTATCTAGAGGATAAACTAAATATAGTGTTGCGCCGATGCCATTTTTTGGCCCTGATACCCGATACCTGGCTGTGCAGTATCGGCCGATACCATCTGTTTGAAATTGATGTGTGTGTATCTATGAAGAACTGCAGACTACTAGGATGTAAAATAATCACCATCATGGCTTCATGTCAAGCTGCTGCCTACCTTTGTGAAGCAGGAAAAAGACTAAAAGTGAATCCAGTAGAACTTTTTATTGCCTACCTGGAATGAGTGACAATAGTTGAAGAAACTTTTGGCTCTCAAAATGATATCGGTGCCCTATTGGTTGGTACTCAACGATACCGATACCACCATTATAGAGATGGATCAGGCCCCCGTCCGATACTGGTATCAGTATCGGTGCAACACTAGTAAAATACATCAATAATTAAGAAAGGATCTAAACCTACAGGAATGAGCCTCTATAGCAAGACTGAACGGTTCATAAGGAACATTTAGGTAAGGCAAGACATTTCGAACATAATGAGCAGAAATGGGGCTGGATGATTTGGCCAGAACTTATAGCATGATATATTTCATAATATGAATTAATTTAAATATGGATATATACAAGATTAAAGCTTTACAAAGTCTGACAGAAATGGCCTCAACAGATGCCTGTACCAACGTATAATATTAGAAAATGTTTATTTAAAAAAAAAACATAAGAGTTAAATAAACACAAACCAGGAACATCAGTCAGTGACACATAATATAACTGTGGACACTGATACATGCTAGAATCTTGGCATTTAGACTTATTGGATGAAATTATATTGAGATATGTATTTCATATCTCAAAAAAAGTGAAACTCTAAACACAAAGAGGATTTTATTCACATCAACGGGTCAATCAAGCAGAAATTCAGTTTGGGAGATTTCACTGTAAGGCCGATGCTCTCTGAAGATGAGAATTTGAACAAATACTCAATAAATAAATCCTCAATAAACAAGCTTTGCTTTACAAGTCTCTTCAAATGCTCCAGATTTTACAAACTTTGATACTAATTCATCACAGGAAACATTATTATGTGAGTCACTTTGACGTTGGTTTTACCAACCTGATGGGAGACGCCCAGAAAGCTGATACTTCCCAGTTCCTGATTCCACATCGCGCTCGCCGCCTTCTAGGTTTCTCCATCTGTTTGCTCCATCTCTGCTGGTTTTTCTCTCTTTGACACATTGCTTTAGGTGTATTTAAGCTTGTTTAGAGAAACCAGGTTTGCCTGTATTTAACGGGCCTTCAGGGTTCTACTGTGTTGTGTCTACCTGTTCAAACATATTCTGCCGGCAGGTTTCTACATTCTAAGTTAATTTAGGCGTTAATAAACTGTTTCAGAGGAGTGATCATAGCGCTCTGCATTTAAAGAAAAATCCCAAGCAACTCATACAAATGGTGGGGGAGAAAGGGACGATTAGGTGGTGCCAAATCAAAGAAAACAATAAAACAAAAACAGGGCCTACCTACAGTCTAAGCTAAATAAAACAAATGAAACAGAAAACCCTGCTAACCTAATCTAACAAAAAGATTCACCAAAACTTTACAAGGGTGGCATCCACCTACTTACCTATTGTGTTTAACAGAAAGTCTCCTACGTGATGAAATGTACAGGGTACCCCGACCTTACCTTGTCCACTAACTCCCACCACAGACCATTAAACACACAGAACAGAACATGCAGCAAGCAAACCAAGGGAGGGAGGAATCTCCAGGTGGCATGCTTATATAGGACCTCCCTGGATCCTGATTGGTCCAAGGGTGGAGAGAATCAATCAAGGGGAGATTAACCCCAGCTTCTGCTACCTGTGTAGAAGCAAAGGGAAGTGGGGAGGGGATAGAAAAACAAACAGCCTGGCAACCATGTAACAACGCTACAGGACCTTTTGGGCGCCTTGATGCACGTCAACCATTGACTTTGCATGTAAACTAGCTGCTCCCGCTGCCTCTGGCGGTCTGAACATAGCGAGAGTGTCGGTGTCCATCTTGGTTGTGTTTTCTGATGGGGAGCTCTAATGAAGCCTTTGTCTCTTTTGTTTCTGCAGACGAGCATAAAGGAAGGATTGTTACTCAAACAGACAAGCTCCTTCCAGAGGTGGAAGAAGCGCTACTTCAAGCTGAGAGGCCGAACTCTTTACTACGCCAAAGATGCCAAGGTAGCTCCACCCCCTATTTACCCTCTGGGATGTAGACAGAAACACCAACCTGCTTTTAAAGCAGAACCTTTGTTGTTTTTGCAGACAGTTTTTATTCTGGTCAAACTTACACTAAGTTATTTTATGAAATCAGAGAGTGAAATATAGATTCCCTACCTGTTATTCTGGACAGGTTTGTTCTTATATTTGTTTCCTTCAAACGAGAGACGGTGGTTTCCTTATGAGTAGTGTTTGTCTTGCCTACTAGCTGTATTAATTTAACTACAACTATTATCAAAAACACTCCCACTACAGACACCTTTATAAAAACTTGTTTTGAAGGATGACACCTAAAACATATTTTCTTAACCGAATAATAAAAAACAAGATGAAATTACTGGAGGGATATAAAATGCTATAAAGTAATTGTAATTCTATGGAATAAATTGCAAAACTAGCTATTAAGGCCCAATCCTCCTGAGTGTAAGGAGGCGGCTAACTTTAGCTGGATTTCTCACGTGAATCTGGTGGAGATTCACAGTCTGCAGCGAGAAACGCCTGGAGTCATGTGATCAAATCCACACCGGAAAGAACTGAGTGGGAACGCTTTGCAACGTTCGTGGAGTAACTGTAACCAACAGACTGTAACGAACTTGGTGACATCAGAAAGGAGCCTGGCCATGGGCGGAGTTTGGGGGGGGCAGGGGGGGCACTGCCCCCCCATGGTGGCTGAAGCATGTAATGACATTAAGTCAAGGAAATGGCAAAATATAAATGTTAAAAATGTATACGTACTGATTGTTTAATGTTTTGATTAAAATACATGGTAGTATGAAATTAATATGAATCTTAGTACATTTTTTTTTAATAGATTTATTTTTCAGCAATCATGTGACATAGTGACGTTGAATACTGTTTCCCGCTACTTGGGGGTTTCCCACTCAGTATTTATCTCGCTAGCATACAGTTTTAGCCTTGTGTAAGTGATTGCAAACTGAAAATGGATATTCGACGTTTTTTAAAACGTCCGATGACCTCTGCCAACACTCAGCAAGAAGACCAAGCAGAGCCAGAACCAACAAATGCTGATCTGGAAACACCTGGGACCAGCTCGGCAAACCCAGCTAGCTCACCATCGGGAGCGGGGCTATCGTCGGGGTCAGTTAGCTTGCCTAGCAGCTCTACTATGGTGCAGCAGCTACCAAATGATCTTGGCGACAAGCACTGCTCTCCTAAGCAGCCTATTCTTCCAGATTTTCCTTTAAAATTGTTTGGAAAAACTAAACGAGCCTTTTCCACGTACTACTACAACAAGTACTGTTGGCTTGAATACTCAATTTTAAAGGATGCCGTCTTCTGTTTCGCCTGCCGCCACTTCCAGACTGACAGCAGCGTGGAGGAATCGTTCCGAAAGGGCATAAGTGACTGGAAAAAACTAAGCATCAAATTGGAAAAACATGCAAATTCTCTGGCCCATCAGAACTGTATGGTTAAATGGGAAAACTTCAAACAGAGCACATCTGGAGGATCGATAGCTGCCAAATTGTCGGAGAGCCACAACGCTACAGTTGAGAAGAACAGATCTTATCTTTGTAAAGTCGTGGATATAGTGCGATTGCTGTCTGCACTTGGATTGCCTTTCCGTGGACACAGGGAGGCTATCGATTCAGATTCTCGGGGGAATTATCTTGAGGTTTGCAATTTTTTCTCAAAATATGATTCTGACTTTCAAAGTATGCAGTCTAATTATTTCAATGCAACAAGTCCAGATTTTCAGAACGAAATAATTGAGATATGCGCAAATTTGGTTCATGCAGAAATTGCAGAGAAATTGCAGGAAGCAGGGTTTTTTGCTGTTATCGCAGATGAGGCCAGGTCATCCAAAACTGAGCAGCTGTCAGTCTGTTTAAGATATACAGAGCAGCTTCAAATCAAAGAGCGGTTTTTGTGTTTTATTGATTGCTCCGCATCTCGAAATGCAGCTGGGATCGTGGATGCCATAAACAGTGGATTGGAGATGTGCGGACTGAAAAATATCCCAATTGTTGCCCAGAGCTACGATGGTGCCTCTGTAATGTCTGGCCGAGTGTCTGGAGTGCAGCAGCGCATTAAAGAGATCCATCCATACGCAGCGTACATACACTGCTTGGCTCACAAACTGAATCTCGTACTTGTGGACTGCTGCACTGTGAACCGTAGTGTTAAAACATTCCTGAATGTTATCAACAAATTGTACTCAGTATTTGCAGAGCCTGCAAACCACCATCGCTTTATTGAAGTCCAGAAATCTCTGGATATGAAGCCAACCGAAATTGCACAGCCCAGCGAGACGCGCTGGGCATGCAAGTGGCGTGCTCTGCATGCCGTTAAAACACACTACTCTGCGATTACACAGTGCCTGAGAGAAATGAGTGATGAGGGAGAAAAATGGTCAGTGGAGGCCACTGGTCTATGTGAGCATATGGGCAGGTTGTCATTTATTACATGTCTCATTGTACTTGAAGACATACTCCGTGTGATTCATGTCACACACAAAGCCCTTCAGTCCTCAAGTCTCACACTTTCCGAAGCGGCTGTGCTCACCGACAACCTGAAAGCGCACTTTGTGTCACAGAGACAGACTGACAAATGGAATGATGTATGGGGATCAGTGAAACAGTTCTGCCGAGACAAAAACATCACCGTACCCGAGGATGTGAATATTCAGAGTCAGACACCTGCTGGTCCTGGACCACTTGTACTGAAAAGAAAACGGGCCGCACAACCCCCCACCTCCCTCGATAATTTCCTGATAACAACGACTTTGGGCCACAGAGAAGAAGAAAATGATTTAAATACTGTACAAATATCCCAGAGTGAGACCCCTGGATTCCAACAGCACCTGTATTTCCCAGTGCTGGATACCATAATTTGCGAACTGGACAGACGATTCACGGGAGAAGCTGTTGAACTCGCACAGGCCTGCGCAGCAGTGTTAAGATGCGACAAAAGTGGAATTGAGCCTCTCGTACTAAAGTATGCACAGCTTCTGAAAATCAACCACCACCTTGCTGGGGCAGAGATGGACCTTGTTAAAGCCTCTATTGTCGGATCTGTGTCACGTGAAAATCTTCAAAAAACTGTAACCAGGGCCGTTTATCCAAATCTATACAAGCTGCTGCAGTTGGCACTGACTCTACCCGTTGGATCTGCCACTTCCGAGAGGAGTTTCTCTGCAATGAGAAGGATTCGCAACTGGCTACGCTTAACAACAGGAGCTGCACGGTTTTCATCCCTTTCTGTGCTTCACATCGAGCGCGACATCACTGCCAGGCTGTCACCTGAGACGGTTGTGGACGTTTACGCAGGACGCAAAAAAAGACGGTTACTTCTGCACTAGGTAAGACTTTCTTTAAATTAATACAAGCAACTATGTTGTACTGTATGCAGTAATGTAACAACTGATGTTGAACATTATTAATGTTACATTAATCACTTGTGCCATCATGCGTAATGCGCTTTAACGCGCATCGTTGTGAGAGCGTGTTGGTGTGGAAAAAAAAAATATATATATATTTTTGCCCCCCCTGACGCAAAAGTGAAACTCCGCCTATGAGCCTGGCCTGAACTCACTGCAAAGGTAAGCATATCTAAATGTTATATCCTGAGCTAATAGGGATCTTAAAAGGCTGCGGCGTTAATGCTAATATTAGAGAAGCAGGTGATATCGACAATAGATCTATCTGAAACTATTTACTATCCTGATGTCCTTTGCACCCTTTAGTTCAGGGAAAAGTCCGATCAGTGAGGAATAATCAATGGATCATTATTTATACCTAAAACTAAAACGTTCGCGTTGATTTATTGAATTTATTGTTAATCTGTGAAAGAATTAAAAAATAATAATTTTCGTGTCAATCCCTGAGTCTGGGAGCGGCCATTTTTCCCCAAACATATTAGCCCCTCCCTCCTGCCATCTTCCAGCAGTGACGTCACGGTGCGGTAAGCCTAGCGCCATTCTCCCCGCTTTACAAGCTAAATCGATGGGAACTACTAGACACATCTGCAATCAACAACAATTATTGAAGATTTCCAGAGGACTTCACCATTGAAATTCACCAGAGCTATAGTGAAACTGACAATGCCCACGTGCATGGCAGCTGGATGCTGGAATACATCGGGTAAAAGTGAAAAATAAAAAGAGTTATTCCACCTTTCTGATTCCTGATCCTCCACGGACGGGTTGGTCGTTGGATCGCCAACTTGAAGAGGGAGGATTTGCCATCGAACTTCTGGCCAGAGAAAAAACCCGTAATATGTAGCCAACATTTGGAAGAAGAATGTTTTCAAGATGACTGGGATAATAGCGCGTTGTGACAAACACCAGATACAGCACTGGGACTTGATCATCAGCCGATACCGCACCGTGACGTCACTAACCAGTAGGTGGCAGTAGTGTTCTTTGACAAACATGGATGCCTCCAGTAAAGCACATTCACATGAAAATTACTCTGAATTAAAAACACTGATCATTTATTGAACAGGATGGAATCATTTCAGATTTAAAGAACTTTCAGAAGTTTGGATTCTGAATATGAGCGACTTTTCCTTTAAATACTGGTCATTTTACAGACCAGTATAATGGGGGGGGGGGGTACACTCATCAGATCTGAACGCCCTGTTAAAAAACTTCACACCCATGAGTAGAGGTAATGCAGCCTGATGATATTTACACCACATCAGATAGCGTCCCCCCTCCCATGTTAAGCAGGGGGAACACTATCTGACGGGGTTTATAGGCCCGTCAGATAGCGTTCCCCCCTGATGTCATTTACGTTGAGTTGCAATAAACGCTAAACTCTCTGCAGGTTCTTGTCTTTGTCGTCCGCTCTATTCAGCTGGCTTTGGAAACACACGGCGAGAAGGTGGGGGCTGGGGGGGAGGGTTACGGGGGCGAGAAACGCAAAAGTAACGCAATAGTTACTTTTACTAGTAACTAGTTACTTTTATTGTGGAGTAACTAGTAACTATAATTAATTACG